ACTAACTAATAAGTAAGTATAACTTTACTTAACTTAACTTACTACTACTACAACTTAAATTAAAGTACGTACGTTAGTAGTTACTTCTACAACTACTCTCTCTCTCTCTCTCTCTCTCTCTCTCTCTCTCTCTCTCTATTAAATTCAGTTTAAAATGAAAAGAAAGCCAAAATTTGAAACTGTAGCTGATTTCTGTACTCGAAATTAAATATGTAACAGAAATATTTTATAATTAACCAAATCAACACCGACATTCTACACAGTCAGTTAACAAAAACCAACAGCTTTTCAAGAACTTCAAAAAAATCAAAATCATCATTTCAGCTGATCCCAAGCTGATTCTTTTAAAATTTCAACCCTTTCCAGCCAAATTTTAAGGTCAAGAGGCCCACAGTGGAGCACCATGGGGCCATCAACCTCTTGTAGAATTCAACAAAATACTGAAAATTCTTGAAATTCAAAACCATGGATTGCACCAATTAAATAACAAATTGGAATAGTCATGGAGAGTAGGGAAATAGAGTTTAGCTATTCATGCCCCACATTGTAACATTATGAATTGAATATGAAGAGAAGAAATTTAACAACAGTATAAATTGGTTATTGAGGGAAGAAATAGGGTTTCATAACAGTATGAAATTCAAACAACTTAGTCAAAGAAAGTATTGGCCATGGAGAGTAGAGAAATTAGGGTTCAGTAACAATATGAATTGTAAGGGAGAATAGCAAATTAGGGTTTCTTGATGGTCGTACCAAGCATTGTAACCGAAATGCCAAACACCTTCAAATTACTATGCATCCATAGGAAGGCAGGGGGCTTGTAGAGAGCGAGCACACAGGCCAATGTCACCCACAGTGGAAAAGCAGTAGAGAGAGCCTCTCCTATTGCTTCCCATCCCAGCCTTTGAACAGGGACCTGCAGATCTCCACTGCTGTTTCTCACTCTAAAACTCTGTTTTTTAAGCAAACCTCTGCTTCCCACACTAAAAGTTTCAGATTGCAGAGTATCTCTGTTTCTCACTCTAAAATTGTGAGATTGCAGGGGTTGGCAGTTTCTCACTGTAAAACACTCATAAGGTAGGAGACCCATGCTTATCACTGTGAAGCTCTGAGATCGCAGGGACCCATTGTTTCTCACTCTAAAACTCTCGGATCGGAGGGAACCACTGTTTCTCACTCTAAAACTATCAGATTGCTGTGAACCTCTATTTCTCACTCTATAATTCCGAGATGGGATGAAATCCACGTTACTCACTCTAAGCAGAGGATCTTTGTTTCTCACTCTGAAAATGTGAGATTGCATGGTATAAGGCGGGGATTGCCATGAAAAAGTGAGCTCAAGTTTATGAGACATGGCTCTCGCAAAAAAAGAAGCGAAGAGCAGACTAGGCCTGCATGATTGAGAAACCAATCTTAGAAGCCCTACAGCTAAAGGATCGTCCTCTCTCTACACACCTTAACGATCTCTCTCTACAGTTTAAGGATCTCTCTCCGTCTCAAACTGCAGCTGCTTAGGAGCTTTCCACTTTCTCTCTCTAGGTTTGAGCATTCTCCATCTCAAACTTCAGCTACTTAGGAGTTTTCATCTCTCCTACGAGGCTTCTTCATTTTCACACTGGACTGAGCATGGATCCCATTCCTTTCCTTCCCACACTCTGTTCTGTTCAATAAATAAATAAAAAATCCCGCCTAATTATCAAATGCGGCGGTTTGCGCAGAGCCCACCTTAAGTAGTTTGGAGGGAGAAGAGTGAGAACAAAAAGGAAAAGGTTTATATGAGGTTGCAATTTTAAAAGTGAAGAACCACACATTTACCTCAAAAATCCATCAAAAAAAACAAGAAGTTGTTTTAATGTTGAAAAACCATTTGATTGATCTATCTCAACATCGAGATGTATAACTATGAAAATAAAAATATTTTGATCATCATAAATAGTGCATCTTACAACATATTTCTATACCGTCCATTTTCAAGATTTTCATGTGTTTATAAATATACTTGATTTTAACTATTTTTTGAATTTAAAATTTTATAATCAGATATAAACATAGATTTTGAGATAATCCTAATAACATTTTATATCAAAATTATATATTATGATAAAATTTGAAGGTGCACCTTAGTTGGATTGTTGAAGGTTGCAACCTTATAGAAACTACACCCTACAAAAAATAATGGGGAAGGATGTGTGGAAACTTGAAATGGGGGGTATCTATAATTTTTCCAACTTAGAATCTATTTTTTTCTTATGTCCATGCATCTTGATGTTGAGATGAACAATTTGAGGATGTTTGAACATCAAAACAACCTCTTCTAGTGAAATTTTTGAGGCAAGTTCTAATTTGATTGTTTAGAGCCTCGGCTCTATGTAAACTTTGCCCATTATGAAATATTTTTCCCCAATTTAAAATATTTTTGTTTATTTTATATTTGAAAAATGGTGTGGTTTGTGAGGTTCTAAACAATCAAAGTAAAGCGCATCTTCAAATGGTGTCGAGAAACATGGTTTCAATATTGAAAATCTTTGTGATAACCTTAAAATATACTTTCATCTCTAATTATAAAATTTAATGCTTAAAAAATAGTGTGGGAGATCTATAAAAACTTAGAAATGTTGAAAATTGATGGCCTAAAAAGGTGATCCAAAATGCACTATTTTCAGAACTTGAAATCTATTTTTTTTCTCATGTCCATGCATCTTGATGTCGAGATGATCAATTTGAGGATATTTAGGCACCAAAACAACATCTTCTAGTGAAATTTTTGAGATATATGTAACACCTAGAGGAAGTTTCCTATTTAGTAGGGAGTCCTAATCTTATTATATGGGGTGAAAGTTAAAAGACTATATGTGCCCAATTTGGATTACGATATGGGAAATGTTGCTTCTTCTAAAGAGACAGCCATGGGCTTTCTGTGCATGAGCAGCAAGGCCTCTCCTTAGAGAGAAGAGGGCTTCTTATGGAGAAAAACAGCATGGATGTGACTGAGAGATTGGTTTCTTGTTGATAAGTGATTCCCATGAATATTTTAGGTGGTTTTCCTTTTTAGTGAGAGAATGTCTCTGTCGGCCTCAATGGTCTATTCATTCACAATGGTTTAGTTGTGGAATAGATGTGGATCTCTCCCTAGACAGTGGCTTAGCTGTGGAGTAGAGATGAGAGATTGACGAGTGGTATTGATCGGGAGAGTGGGTCTAAAAGGGTTTACTCAATTGATTTTATCGAAGGTTAGAGATGTAACTCTATGTCCCAAAATCTATAATGTAACTTTTATTTATATAATAAATTTAAGTTTGTCGTGCCCATGGATGTAACCCTTCTGGGGTGAACCATTTAAATCTTTATGTTCTTGTGGTGTATGCGTTTCATGTTTTATTTCTTGTATTATAACTCGTACACTCTGCTATTTTGTTTCTAACTGGATAAGTACATGATCTTGGTGGGATCTAACTCTTGGGATTCATGTTTCCGCATCTAAAAAGGTTCTTAAATCCTAATATTAGATTTAGATTGTGCGAAATTTTATGGCAATCGGTGCAAATCAGAGTGCGAAACTGAGTGGGATGGGCTTAATGTTAAGCTTGATCATACTTTTGGGTTCGATGCATGATTGCATCAACAAGGGCATGAATGTAGAGAAGAGTTGGGTAATCGACTACCTCAAACTCGACATGATTGGCGAAGTGGAGCAGACCGAGACCAGTATAGAGATGAGCAGAGAGAATTTTTCCACATTCAAATCTACCCTTGGAGTAGTATCATCTCAAGCAAGGAGACCAATTCCTCTAACTCAGGGAGTTGTTCTTACAACACAATTGTGATATGAACATCTCACAATTACATAGATAAAGGTTTGTGAGTCCTTGACCAAAGCAAACCTTAGATTTGTTACCAAGAAGGTTGATGGATTGATTACATCATTTTAGGAAACAGACTTACGTAGAGGTTGGGTTTTCATAGCCTAACGTCACAAGTTCCATTCCTATATGTAACCTAGTCAAAAAAGAAAAAGAAAAAAAATTGATGGATTGAAAGATTTAAAAAGGCCTAAATCAAATGGAGAAAAAGTAAATGTATTTGTAGATCAACTTGCTGAAAAAGGAGACATAATAAGGGATAAATCTGAAGTTTTTTATCAATGAAAGAACGAGGACTTCTAAATCTTATATGGAACAAATTCTAAATCTTATATTGAACAAATTGAGCATTGTGTCAAACAATAGGAGATTTTAACTTTACTTTGATTAAAGACAATGTTGAATTTACAAGTGATTCACTACTAATGAACAAGAAAGAGCAACTCATAATTGTAGCCACATGGAATTCAGGATTAGATGAGAAAACAAAGGTAGAGGTTTCTAATCAAAGTTAAATGTTAATGGGGCAGACATGAATTATCGCTGTTGTCGTTAAGTGAGGAGATTCTACTAAGTCTTCTAAAGAAGAGTTGTGGCTCTACTCTTATTCCAACAACCTACAGAAGAAGGTGATGTTGATGACAATGTTAGTAAGGGTGGTGTTTCTCTCAATGTCTGTTTTGAGTCTAGGAGGCTATAAGAGATGCACACCAAGGAACTGAAGGTGTTTTCAACTTGGTTTCTTGATGATGGCTTTGACATAACTAATGTCTACCTAGAAGTTGATATTTATGTCGATGTCTCAATAGTAAAAGAAAGCTCGAGTCATTACATTATTTTGAGGAGAAGATTCCAATCCCAACTTACTAATTTTGGGATGAAAGAAGTTATGGGTTGGACATAGGATTTATCTTAGTCCACTTCAAAATTGGTGAAAGAATTTTCTCAGGTTTCTTTGATAATGGGTCACAATATTTAAAGGAGATGGGGCTCATGGTTTTCTACTTTCTTATTCTACTCTTTTTGGTGTTTATGCATTGGAGTAGTACAAAGGAAGTATAAAGAGTATAAGAGCCACTAAGCAAATCCATATTGAAGCTCTGATGTGTAGATTCATTAGTGACCGTTCCACTACTAAAGCACACTTAATGACCTATTGTATTAGAAAAATCGAGGTCCAATCCCATGGAGTGAGGGAGTCCATATTCTTTTGAGGTTATTTTGATTGGATATCTCAAATAATATATGAACCACAGTGACCATGAGCCTTTTCTCTCATACTTTTCCATGGTTTAAAATTGAACTTTTTACCCCTCCCTCCATTATCAGTTTTTACTTGTGCTTGGATTCAAATACTATAGTCTTTAGTGTACAAGTTTATGGGGTTAAATATTAGGTGGGGCTTAGATTCAGATGATTCATGGGAGATTTTTTTATTATACTCTATGCCGGCTTCAGTTTGCTGGGGAGTGCACAATTTTATTTGGAACAATAGCAAGGTAGAGAAGTTCTTAGATGAGACTTATATGATAGGAGCTCGTACCGGTCACGATCATGGAGGAAAAGTTCTGAATTTTGTTTCAAATTGCATGAGCTGGGGTTGACATTTAGTGAGCCAACTTTTCCTAGCTTCTTGTTGGCATATGCATCTCTTGTCATTCTTAAAAATGTAAGGCAAGCCCGTGCTCTTATTCTATATTTGAGACCTTATGTAGGGTTTGCACGAGATTAGGAAGACAAACATGTATGCATAAACTTAAGTGCCAGTTTCACTAATATTTTGCACCTTACTTTCAATTGTGAGGCCATAACTTTCTTCTTTGCACTCAAAAGAAGTAATCAACTGAGTCTTGAAGCTGCATTCATTGTAATTGCCAAGTTCTTGAGCACACCAGATTAAGTATTTATCGAGTTTATTAACGTTTGGGGCTATGAAATTGTGGTTTTGCCATCAGCTAAGGGCATCGGCATCAAACATGAAATTCACTTCTTGAGAGATTTTTGGAGATTAGTAAAATTCGCAACTTGTGTTGAAATCGTGGAGTCAATTAGCATTTACTTATTTCTAGGGAAAATCTTTCAAGAACAGATATGGAAGAGAGCTTATTCAGTCAGGAATCAAGGTTCTTTGGTGGGAAATAATAGTTCTTTTGTAGCAAGGGCTGACGATTTTGAACTCCCATTTAACAACGTATTGCCCATTGTACATGTCAAAATGGATGACCATTGGAGGCGCATCACAATTGTTTAGTCTCATGTCTTATAAAGAACAATTGCTTGGAGATGTAGCTCTTCAACCATCAGGTAACGAAGGTTTATGACGCAATAGAAGAAACTCGAGGGCGAGTTCTTTTCCAACCAATGGAGTATCGTGCAAATCACAGCTAAGAAAGACATCATGAATAATGCACTTAATTTGGTATGTTTTGTAAGAATTGAAAAAGGGTGTGGATGAACTTCTGTATTTATTTATTTTATCATTGTTAGGGTTAATATTGAGGGATTTATAATGAGAGGCAAAAGGGAAATTTGATGTAATGTGTTGAATAGGATAGAGGCCTCCCATATTTAGGAATCAACATGGCCCATTGGCTTTAGTTGGTTAGGATTTTATTTATTGGGTTTTATTTCTTGGATTACTTTTGGAGATGTTAGAGAGAGAATCCCCATGCTCTACGTGACCTTCTATTAATTAGCGATAGGCCTTGTGAAAAGGGGGTGACGAAGTTTTTTGTTTTTTGGGTCAGTCTGTGGGGCCATGGGGATTGATGAATTTTTTTTTTATGCTCCACGTGACCTTCTATTAATTAGTGATAGGCCTTGTGAAGTTTTTTTTTTTTTTTTGGGTGGGTCTGTGGGGCCAAGGGGATTGATGAAGTTTTTTTTTTTTGGGTGAGGCTAAGGGGATTGATGAAGTTTTTTTTTGTATTTTTTGGGGTGAGTCTATAGGGCCAAGGGGATTGATGAAGTTTTTTTTTTTTTTGGGGGTGAGTTGTGGGGCATTGTGAAAGGGGATTGATGAAGGTTTTTATTTTTGGATGAGTCTGTGGGGCCAAAGGGATTGATGAAGTTTTTTTTGTTTTTTTTGGGGTGAGTCTACAGGGCCAAGGGGACTGACGAAGTTTTTTTTTAGGTGAGTTGTGGGGCATTGTGAAAGGGGATTGATGAAGGTTTTTATTTTTGGATAAGTGGGGAATGGGCCTCTATTTTGGATAGAAATTGAGCCTAGGACATAGCGTTGTAAATCGTCAAGCGCTAACCAAATGTGCTAACATGCGTTAAAAGGAAGAAATCATATTTTCATTGACTTCAAAAGATGGAAAAGAGAGAAAGGGAGGAAGATATTTGCTTGAGATTTTGAGAGAAATACGTAGGAAAGAGAGAAAGGGAGGAAGATAGAGAAATAAGTGATTGGGAAAGAGAGTAGAGATTTGCTTGAGATTTGGAGAGAAATACGTAGGAAAGAGAGGAAGGGAGTAAGATAGAGAAATAAGTGATTGGTAAAGAGTTAATTTTTGTGTTTCTTTGTATTATTTTTATTTGTGCTTGTATTTATGGTAAAACGTTCTTATTAGATGGGGTGACACTTTCTATGTTTCCCTTACAACATAGAATTGTATTTATGGTAGAACTTTCTTATTAGATGGGGTGAAACTTTCTATGTTTCCCTTACAACATAGAATTGTATTTATGGTAGAACTTTCTTATTAGATGGGGTGAAACTTTCTATGTTTCCCTTACAACATAAAAGTTCTATCCTCTCCCTCATCCAACCGTCCATTTTTTAATGGAAGGTTAAGATTGCCGACCGTCTATTTTTGAATGGAGGGCTAAGATTGCTGCAATCACAATGTCACGTCACTACATTGTTTTATTTTTTATTTTTTTCTATAAACTATTTTAGCACCAAATTTGGGACATCCATTCCTCTATTAAACTCACACTAATGAAAACTATAAAAAAAAAATATTTTCGATAAAATAAAATGAACCAAAACACCCATGAAAGTTTCAAGGGGTATTTTGGTTATTATATTTTATCAAAAAATTATTGTTAATATTTTTTATAGGTGCGCCTCAATGAGAAGATGGCACGTACCAAATTTCATATTCAGAAAAATTGTATTAAAAAAACTAAAAATAAAATACTTTGATACGTCAAATCTAAAATCAAACGGAGAGCGACTCTCTTGATCGAAAATGGATGGTTGGATGATAAAAAGAAATAGAACTTCTATGTTGTAAAGGGAACATAGAAAGCTTTCCCTTAGATGGGAGACTTGAAGCTTTCTTTCGTCTTTCATAAATCTTTCCAATTTTTTCCTTCATTTGTCGAATTTTTGCTTTTTTGCTTATTTAAGATTGAAAGAAGATCGAATTTAATTTCCAAGAATCCTTTCGCATTAAGTTATATCTCCCATAGGATTTATATTCAGGATAGGAACTAATCCTTGATTTGTAAATTCAGAGAGCCAAACAGGCCTGCAAGTCTTCATATGTTGAATTTCCTATTCAATAATTAAAAAAAACAAAGATTATTAATGAAATTAGGAAAAATTGCAGTAATATCCCTTTTATTTTGTGGCACTTAGATATGGTTGGAATCAATTTTATTCTTTGCTGAAGTTCTTTTATTTTGAATTGTTTAAACATTGGATGTCTAAAACGAATTTTTTCGTAAAAATACCAGTTTGGACATGGACTTGTGCTTTATCATTTTTATGGTGAAAAAAGTGATTCAAACATTGCATGTTCAAATAGGACTTCCACTAACATTCAGGCTTTTGGAGGTTCATACATACAATGTCTGATATGCTCAATCGTTCACAAAAGTGCATATGGTACAATAATTGGTTCAAACAATGGATGTCTAGACTGCCACTTGTCATTTCTTAAGTGAATTAATTGATCGAACATTGGATGTTCGAGTTGCTCCAGTTACCAAAAAATAATGTCGAACTCTTATTTGCTCATTCATGGGATTGTTAATGGTGGTTGGACTAAAAGACCAAGCCCGTGCACATCTTCACTTCATACATCACAGGCTTCCTCCTGCACATCTTCACTTCATACATCACAGCCTTCCTCCTTCTACGTACCGCAGGTCACCATCCACCAAGCTCTCTATTCTGACTATTTGCAATACAATTAATAACTGTTTTATCACAATGGAGATGAGTTCTGACTAAAATATGATGAACCCACTTGCCGGCCAGAAGAGATTGCAAAAGCTGAACCAATGTACATCCATACCAGCCACTGGCAGCCTCCACTACTCAATATACTGCTGAGAGAGAGAGAGAGCGAGTATCTAATATTGGTCATGCTATTGATTTAGACTTCAAGGAACGGAGCTCCCACTGACCCTCACCATCGACTAGATGTAACTCCAAGGAATGAAATGGTATTAGCGCAGGTCGCTGGATATCATAACAATATTCACAAATGTTAGATCAGTTAATTAGAGGTCAAATGAGAGAGAGAGAGAGAGAGAGAGAATTTAAATTCATGTCAGCAAAAAAGAGAAACAAGTAGAGGTTAGATTCAAGAGAGAGAAAGGGGATGGGTGGGGGAAGTGGTGTACTGGGGTTTAATTCATGAGGTCTAATGAGAGAGAGAGCGAGAGAGAGAGAGAGAATTTAAATTCAAGACAGCAATAAAGAGAAACAAGGAAGTAGAGGTTAGACTCAAGAGAGAGAAGGGGGAGGGGTGGGAGAAGTGGTCTGGTGGGGTTCAATTCATGAGAGTTGAAGAATAAGGCTATCTACTTTTGGTACAAAGAGATCATAATCATTTATTGAGCATTGGATGTGAAATCAGGTAGTTGGGGATGTGTCATTGACTGGACACAAAGTCCACAAAATTTCTCAAATGCTGTGACACTTCAGTATATTGGATTTCACATCATCAGTAACTAAGAACGATTTTGACCATCTTGTACAAAAAGCAAATAGTTCTATAGTATACAATCTATATATATATATATATATATATATATATAGAGAGAGAGAGAGAGAGTACGTTTACGTGTAGGTAGGTAGGAAACAACGTAACGTAACCTACCTACGTACGTAGTAGTACGACTAACTTACGT